TGGCCGGATCCGGAAAATTCAAATGGCGTTCGATAGCCCTTTCAAATTTGTTTGAAGGAACCAAATTTCATTCACCTCGGGGTCACCGATGACGCGTCACAGGTCAGGTCAAAGATAAAATGTTACACCGTTCACGGGGCTTCCAGGGAAAGCGCTATAACACCGAGTAAAACGCATTTTTGTCGAAAATAAGCGATAAAGCGTCAGTTGTTCAGTACATATGTTGCTATTAGAGGTCACTGGTCATACCAGGTCAGGTCACAGGTTAGGTCACCAAAGGTCACCAAGGGTCACCACATGCGCCAGTTTTGCATTTCCAACCCAATGGTGTTGGTTATAAGACCATCAGGCACGGTTAAGGTCACTTTCTGGTGGAGGTCAGGTCAAGGTCAGGTCAAAAAGGGCAAATTTTAACCCGCGCACCGACGGGGGTCTGCGCCAACTTCGGACCGACGGGGGGGGCGGATGACCGCCCCCCCCCCCCCCTTAGATCTCGAGAACGAAGCAAGATAGCGACAAGCGGTAAACGGCATCGGATACGCACGGTCAAGATCTACAATTTTTACTAAGGTCATTTTCAGGTCAGGTCAAAGATGACGTCACAGGGGTCGAAAAAGTCAAAATGGCGGCGCTAGATATGGAGAGTTTTTCTCGAATAACTTTCGAATTAGTCAAGATAGGAACAAACTAAGGGCATCATCGTGATCCTCTCGTCAATCCGCATCGAATGATATATATGTTGACCTCGAAAGGTCAAGGTCAAAGGTTGACCTCAGGTCACGTGACCTCGAGGTCATCATGTATATCATTCGATGCGTCTTGACGAGCTGAACACAATGAAACCATCCACGCGTCTGTATCTTGTTCTTGTACGGAGTTATTGGCCAAAAACCTTTGGTGACCTTTGATGACGTCACATGACCTCACAGCTGCCCAACAGCAAAACAGACCTCAAGGTAGTGAAGGTTGATCGTATATGAAGTCATGTATGGTATATGGGGCCATTCCGACCCGTTTTAGTGGTAAAAACAGGGAGTTGATTTTCCCCCATTGACTTATAATGGGGAGGTCGCGAAATTTTTCCTGACCTTAGGTCACCGATATCAAAATTCCGAGATATACAAATTGTAGCTACTAATGACCTAATAATATCCTGCGACTTTCAAAGGCCTCCGACATCTACTGTAGCTCTGGCACGGTGACAAAGTTGCAAAGAAGTGACTTGAGGTTGGGTCATTCAAAGTGACCTAATGACCTGACCTTAAAAGGTAGTCCGAGGTTCAAACTTGCACACCATGTGTAAAATTGATTAAGGTATAGTCATACCAAATTTCGCGGCGCTACGCGCCGCGGTTTTCCCGCTATTCGCGAAAAACCTCAGGGGGGCGGATATCCGCCCCCCCCCCGTCGGTGCGCGGGTTAAGGCTGATATTTTTGCATAAAATGGGTATTGATTCGATGCAGCTCGTCACTGGGAGTCTAATGGTGGTCTTAGTTTTGCGCTACGAGGTCTAGAATAGCTAAAAAATTGAGTTTTTAAAAATTTGACGTCATCAATTTTGAACAGTTTTTTCGCTATAACTTGGCCAAAACTGAGGTATCGATCTCAAATTTGGTATATAGATAGGAGGTAGGGACTATCACATATATTCCGGTTTTTCGAATTTCAAAAAAAAGTTTTTGGATTTTTCGGCTATAATATTCGAAAAATCTTTTTTTTATTTTTGGGGGTCAAAATCCTAAAAATTAGAAAAATCGAAATAGCAGTTTTGTAGCCCTCTTGATTCCACACCTTTTATGTCTGAAACATATTTCTGTATCTCTAAAGCTGTAGGCCTGACAGCTCTTCCCGCGAAACCTTTTTGTGGGTCGAAAATGGCAGAAATGACGTCACTCTGACGTCATTAGCGGCCAACCTATCATAGCCTTTGGAGAAAAAAAATGGTCACCATGTGCGCTAGCTACTCCCGGGAGGGTACTGAAAGTTTGGTGACGATCGGCGCAGCGGTTCTCGAGATATATCAAAAAACTAAAGGGGGCAAAAAATGCCCCCCCCCCCCACCGCATGGAAGGTTAAGTTAGGCTGTTGAAACCACTCAAACTCAAAATCCAATTGACGCATTTCAGGCAATCGTATATGCATCGATAGACGAAGCAGGTACTTCATACATCGTAGCCTATTTGTATTGATGGTCTGCTCTATTGTGACACTAGTTTTTTTCAATTTTAGGCCTGGTAAATTGCAAAGCAGTTCGAGGGTGTCTAAGCAAAGAATTAAGAGAATTCATCTTAACCCTCGCCCATTTTTAGAGCTAGAAGCTGATGTTTGGTATAGCTGCTCCTTTAACCTTTTTCAGCGTCCACTCAAAATTTCCAGTTTCTGTGGTTTTTGTTTCGGAGGTATGACCTCGTTTTTCAGGTCATGTCATGACCCAAATGACCAACACTCAATATCTTGCGTTAACTAGTTATGGGCCTTGTGAACTTTTGACACATTTACACCTTTTTACGGCCAAATATAGAAATAGTGCACACAGTTCAGAAATAGTGCAACCATTTCGACAGTTCGGCATAGTGCACCGCTTCTTGGGCCGAGTGCATGAAATTCAGTAATAGTGCACACGGCTCCGAAACAGTGCAAGCAATTTAAAAGAGAATGCATTCATTTTCAGTAGTTGCGATTTCAGTTTCGCCAGAGTGCATTGCTTCGTCATATGCATTGGTATTCGGCGTACCGCAAAGCAATTTAGTTAACCTTCAAGCGAATTCGGTGCCCCATCTAGAAAATATTTTTGACAACGCTCTTGCTGTTCATCAAGTGTAGCGTGGTGCTGTTCAAACAAGCTGCTAATGAAATTTTACTAAATTATTGAAATTTTACTGCTAATGAAAATTAATGAGATTTTAATGAATGTAATGAAAAGGCCCAATTTAGGCGGCAGTGCACACATTTCAAAAATAGTGCAGGCGATTTCGACAGTACGGCATAGTGCATTGATATATTGAATCGCGGCACGATATTCGCCATATTGCAGCCATTTCGTCATAGTGCAGGTTTAAAGTGACCCAGGCTCAGGCATATTAGACATATCGCACATTATTCGTCAGATCGTTTCAATTTCGGGGTCCCGCATGTAATTTAGGCACTGTTCAGTAACACGGCATTGCATAAATAAGTAATAACAATTTTTATTTGACATTTCACGCTACCTGAGCCTCCAATGACACTCGTAGTCAGTCAGCAACGCAAAAAAGTCAAGTAGCCAGCTGCACTGCTCTGGATGCAAAAGGTAGAGGGTATTTAATGTTTCATCTGGGTGCCTTAGCTTCAATCATATAAGACATAGTGCACATAATTCGTCGGGTGCTTATATATTCGGCATGAGCAATATTTTTTCGGCTTTGTTCAATCAAATTCGCCATGATGCTGAAAGGCGATAACAAGAATCCATAGCATTTCTGATCTTTTTGAACCAGCAACGAAGTTATGCACCCGATTCAGAAGCCCTGAATGCCACGTGACCGCCACTCGACCGTGTCACCGAGTTCTTAGAGCGAGACTAATGATAAGTTAATTCCTGAGAGCTGAAACTGCATTTGAGCAGGTTTTTGACCAAGATTCACGCTACTCTTGACAGGCAGATAGGGGCTTTCAAAAATATTTTCCCAATCCAGCAGCGAATTCACTTGAACATCGCCTAAATCGCTTTGCTGGACGCCGACTATCAGGCCACATGACGAAACCGTGCACTATGACGAAATTGAACCTACGGCTCATTGAATTTGAACGCACCATCTTCTAAATTGATTGCTCTTCATTTGAAACGTGTGCACTATTACCGAATATCATGCACTTGGCCGAACTAGAGGTGCACTATGCCGAACTGTCGAAATCGGTTGCACTATTATACTGAACTGTGTGCACTATTTCTATATTTGGCCGTAAAAAGGTGTAGCGCATTTCACGTTCACGTGACATCCCACATTCTTCATTAGCTCCAGAGCTTTGCTGAGGGCTTAAGTTGCGTAGGAAGGTGAGATTTGTTTACATAATCGCTTATTTATACCGTGCTGGATTTATTTGAACGTTGCCGTAAGCACATGCCGTATGTCGAATTTGAATTAACCTGACGAATTATTATTTGCACTAAGTCCAATATGTCTGAACCTGAGCCACTTTTATCTGCACTATGACGGAGTGGGGTGCACAATGACGAATATCGTGCCGCGATTCAATATATGAAGGCACTATGCCGAACGGTCGAAATCACCTGCACTATTACTGAAATGTGTGCACTTCCGCCTAAATTGGGCGTAAAAAGGTGTATTTCGGTATGTTTTTTAGTATTACCTCCCATCTATCATGCAACATGTTATTCGACGATATGTATATGTCAGGGTCAGGGTCAAGGACTCAAGGTCAACCTAGGTCATCTAAAAACATTGTATTTAGGCCTACTAAATTTATTTTTCGTGAACTTTTTCGACTAAATTTTTGGTAAAAGCTTCTCAGATCATGATCTCATGTAAAAGGGACACACAAACAAATCGGTCCACACATCAGTATGCATACACACAGACACGCACATAACTACAAACACATATCGTTGACCATGACCTAGCTTGACCAAAAATGACCAGCCGGTAAAACACCTAGTCGAATAGTGTGACAAAGAGCTGTTCTAGTTGGCCTGGCACAACAAAGGGCAGCGCCATCAGTATATGATGGGCACTACACACGTGATATTCCAACGGTGACCCCAAACAGCAATTTTTTTTAGTTTGACCTGACCTGGAAGATCAATGATTGACCTCGTGAGGTAAAATTGGGTACCACTGAATTTGTCTCTTCCCAAAGAATATGTTGTATTTTTTGCCGTGAAGCTCTACCTCCAGTAGGATCGAAATGGCGTGGGGGGAGGGGTGGCACCCCCCATGTGCGTTCTAGGATGGGAAAATGGCCTGTGCGGGCGAGTGTTACGAGGACATTGTATACTCACCACGGTTTTCCCTGTTGGATGTTTGCCATCCTGTCGGACACATCGCCGAAAGGATGCTGTCCGGGGAAGATGATATAGTGGAAGACACATCCGAGCGAAAAGATGTCAGCTGTCTTCTCCTGAAATAAAATATGCAGGATAACAATTGAACACGGGAAAATGTAACGATGACTAATTATAAATGGGATATTCTATTGAGGAGAGAAATATACATGCTTCGGAAAAAATTAATTGTCTTAAATCGCGACCCATGGGGGGCAAGGGGCCCTCCTGTGGTTTTTCGCAGTAAAAACGTAAAAAAAAAATTGTAACGTAAAAAATTGTTTTTCATTGTAAACCGGTACAATTTGACCTTATTTTACCTTCCTGTGACGTCACAGGTCGAAGAAGAAAAATGGTCAGGTAGGTTTCTGTGGTTGCATATATATGACAAGTTTTCATAAAGACCCGAATATTCACAATTTAACATGTCTTTCCTTACGATTCACGAAAGTGTCTTCTGATTGGTCGAGGCTGACCTCTGTTGTGACGTCAAAGGTCATCATCCACTCAGGTGACTATCAACATGCCAGATCTATCATATACAACATATCCAGACTCAGTTTCGGAACTTAGGGGAGATCCGTGTAAGACGCCCAGGGTCGGTAAGAGGCCCCATCGCTTTTTTTACCAAACCAATAATGTTATTTATTTTTTAATGTTCTTGTAAAGCAGAAGCCCTCTTGAAACAACAACTCACGAAACCTGAGGTATCAGGTGCGTCGCAGCGACTTTTGGTAAGCCTGTTTCTGTTTTTGCCCCTTTACTTGCTAGATATATGCATCTTTATCACCCTTATATATCTGAAAAAACAATGACTATCAAATGCAATCTTATCTCATCGAAATTGTCACATGTTAGCTTCAGAATAGACCATGTTCTGGTGCGCTGCAAATGTCTCATAAACCATAAATATTGTGACGTTAAAACACTGCATTTTTTTAAGAGGCCCTCCCTTCGAGGATTATAAAACGCCCCCCCCCCCCGATAAAAAACGCCCCCGATGCTAAAACGCCTGCACCTGCGGCAGGCGTGGCATTCTTTTTTCAAGGAGTGTGTTTTTGTTTCTTTTTTTTCTGTTTCTTTTTCTAGAGGTAATAGATACCTACAATTTTCGTTGGTCATCAGCGTTTGGTTGTGCTAGTTTTCGCATTGTTCGAGCACTTTGGAAGTGTTATTGGTTTCGATAACACCGTATTTGCTTAGCTTTTCGAAATAAAAGGCCTTGCAGCTGTGTTCGCAAAACGTCTTTTACAAGTCGACTTGCCTTGTTAAACGCCCGAGGGGGGGGGGGGCGTCTTACCATACCCATAGTGTAAGAGGCCCTTTTGCAACTTTTTCCAAAATGTTAAAGTTTACGGTTTGTGTACCCCCTAGATTCATTTTGAATGCAAATATGTATGGGAAAATGATGCATGCTCACAGCGCATGCACACGTTAGCTCTTAAATATTATCAGTTGTCTAAAAATAGCAACTGAGCTTAAGGGGGGGCCTCCTGCACCACTCTCCCCTAAATTTTATTTTTATTACCGTCTACCGACTTCTCGTTATTGGAAAATGGACTGATTTGAACTTTTTTGACCTCCCTGTGACGTCACAGGTCAAATATTAAGGTCAACATATCCCATCTTGTGCATTTCGATAAGCTCTTTCGAACGCCGTTAGAATTTTTCCGATCCAGCTATTGGTTCCGGAGATACGCGACGGGGGACATTGCCCCCCCCCCCCCAAACAGGACGTGGAGCCAGCCAGTGCGCCTGAGTAGCTGCCACCATATTTCACTTAACTATGTACTATTGGTCTCAAGGTAAGGGTCCAGGCGACCTGTAGGTTTGATGCGGTGAATACCCCCACATTCGCCACACTCCACACTGGTCGGAAACGCCCTCACGAGAGGCCACGGGCGATTCCGGAGTTTCGGATTATTTTTTATATAGATCGATTTGAAATTGATCAAATTATTATAATTAGGCCAAAAAAACTAATCCGGGTGACCAAAAATAACTGTAATCAGCCCCCGAAGATGGGGTATCCCAGAACTCGGAAACTGACGCGGAGCAAGAGGTTTCTTGAGCCGGATATTCAGAGTCTTATTGCTGATAGACACCAAATTGAAATCTCACATATTATGCATCAAAATGTTTGTTATGAAGTTGCCGACTGGTCAGTGCAAATTTTTTGGTATACTTTTTCCCCAACTAAGATCTACTGTAGCTTTTTTATGAGGGCTCTCCTAGAGTGATTCTGGAATATAACTGCAAAGTTTAGGTAAGGAAACAACAGGTAGTCCCATCTAGTCCCACTCTGATTTTTTGTGAGATGAAGCAGGATTTAAATTTACACCAGGGCAACATAAAAGCTAACTGCGCATATTTGCGCAAAATTTGCAGGAGCCGCTATTCCTACCCAACTACCGCCCGCCCCGCCCCAGTTTCGGCTCGGCCGCCGCGCCCGGCTTACGCTGACCTGTGTGGCCTGCACGCATCCATGCGTAGTTGACTGGTCATTAAAAACAGACGCGCTTGAGTTTATGAATTTTGTGGAAAGCGCATACAATATGGTTTTATTATTGCATTTATGTATGTATTGACATCAAAAGCCTTCCACATATTGCGTGGCGATTACGGCTTGCATTTAGAGAGCCTTGCTATTAGTAACCATCACTCGGCTGAAGAAAGTGGAAATTGAGACCTTCGTGAATATAAGGCGCTGCGAATATAGGACACCTGTCACTGGCGTCAGGTTACCTTGGGCCGTCTTTTTACATTAGATCACAATTCCGGTATTTAGTTGAACGTTCATTGTGACATGTATGACTAGATAAGTGAAACTTTTTTAAATATAAATGTACTGTATTATAGAAAGCCTTCGCAAACGCGTTTCGAATATATCATCTTCAGTGCTAGCTTCCCATAACACAAAAAGAAAATGGTACAAAAGTTCACAACACATCGGTATTTAGCCCTGGCCGGACCGATTGGTTTTCTATATTGACCGGGGAGGGTTGATACAACTCCCTCGCCGTTTCGCCTCTAATTGAGCTAGAGCCTCGCGGGAAAAAAACGAGCTTGTGTGCCGTTATAAGACGCAGCAAGTACTACCCGATTTAAGGTCTTAGGTCAGCCAGTGACCTCTTAGGTCAGGTAAGTGCCACAAGGCACGGGCTCGGTTTTTGGTTAATTACTTTGCCAAAAATGGTCGCACTGCCGCGATTTTGGCATCATCGTGTTTGTCTAGCTCAGGAGCGTCGAATGCTATACTTGGTATTCGGGTGAAGTCAACTTAACCCGCGCGGGGCTGGGGTCTCCAGCCGAACGCGCGGGGCTGGGGGGGGGGGTATATTTTACCCCCCCTGTTATCTCCAAAACTAATGGTCCGATTTGGAAAATTCAAACGCCAATCGAAAGCTCTCATCACGAACTACAAAAAAACATGTACTTAATTTAAAGTTTGAGGTCAAGGTCAAGGTCAGGTCAAGGGTACAAATTGCAAGTTTCTACATTATCGGCCTTGCACCGTAGTTGCCGAAGAATGGAGTCATGGACTGAGACTGATCGCCCAAAACGTGTTCTTAGGCTACCAAGACAATATTCGTTGCATACAATATCATTCAGAGGTCAAGGTCAAGGTCAGGTCAGGTCAGGTCAGGTCACTAAAAAACAAAATATAGAAAAGGGCATGTGCGACACATGTTTTATGGGTCATTTTACTCATAGAATTCAATAGGCACACTCAATAAGTGATATGGACCACCTCTGGATGAATTTCAGGTCGAGGTCAGGTCAAGGTCGGTCAGGTCAAGTGAGGTCAAATTTTGAAGTTGGTTGTTAAGGCCTAAAAAGGTGTCTATCTGATGCAGTTTTTCACGGCGAATCGAATGGTGCTATTTTTGTTTCCGTACGAGGTCTAGAACTTCCAAAAAAGTCATTTTTCAAAAAATTTGTGTGTCGTGACGTCATAAAATTTTGAATAACTCCCACGTTTTTGAACCGATTCTTCTAAAATTTGGTATGTAGGTGCACATAGACCACTTCTCTGACATATATTCCGGTTTTTTCGATAGACTCAAAATTTTGGATTTTATAATTATTTTCCCAAAAAAATCAGTTTTTTGAAAAAATTTAGGCCAAAATCCAAAATTTTCAAAAAACCGAGATAGCCATTTGATAGACAAAGTAAAATTACGTATAACCTTTTTTGTTACGTCTTGATTCCTTTAAAAATGAAGATGTTAGCGGCGTTTGAACTTTTGCCGTTTTTGAGGCGAAAATGGCGAACATGACGTCACTAAAACGTCAATTTCTCAAAAATTTTCCGACGGATTTCGCTCAAATTTTCAGGGAACGTGTCAAATTGATGTAAGAAAAGGTACTGAAAGTTTGGCGGCGCTGCGCGCCGCCGTTTTTGAGATATCGCAAAAATTCGCGAGGGGGGGTAAAATTTACCCCCCCCAGCCCCGCGCGGGTTAAGGCGTTAAAGGGACCCTCCCACCTTCAAAAAAGTTTATGAATTGGCATGAAAGTGATGTCGCTCGGTTCAGAAAGAGCGAAAACGATTATCTACCAAATTTCACCGAAAAATATTCACCGGTTTTCAAGATATTAGACTTTTACTTTTGTTTACTTTTTCGGTATCTCCGCTGTTTCTAGCGACTTTATTTTAGAAGTGCGGCGTTTGCGGCAGTTGTTGCGCGCAAATAGCATATACCACCGCGTGCTACAAAACGTTTTAGTCAAACATTTAAAAATCGTTAGATATTTGCGCTGACGTCACACATTCAGAGGGGTATTCCTAAGCATTAGCCCCTCTGAATCAAAATGCTGCAATTTTGAAATTCAATATTTCCGATTTAAGGCATTTCTCGATGTTGTGAGTGCCGAAACCGGTAATTGTGAGCCAGGGACCCCATTTTGGCTATCTCAACTCAAATCTAATGTTAAGGTGGGAGGGTCCCTTTAACCTCGGGTCAAGGTCAGGTCGGAGCCCCTCAGGTCACGAAAATGGTTGAAGGAGGACATATCGCATATCACTCGATTCGGCAGGTCTTCCCGAGTCCAATGATGGCTTTCCCGACTCTCT